CTGAATTGAACGAACCCGTGCGGCGGCGTTAGTTCCGAGGCGGCGGCGGTCGGCGCCGGCGAGAGGATGACCACCGTGTGAAGGCCTTCTGTGGTGTTCGTTCATGAGAGATAGAGGGAGGGAGAGAGAGAGGAGTGGAGAGAGAAAATAAATCTGAATCATTACCTGCGTTGGGTGAGGGAATTGGATTTATTGTCTCATGGTGGCACCCACTTATGTGTTTAATGATTGATGATAAAAAGTCTAAAATATCCTTAATGCAAGTATTATTTTGACTTTTTTTAGCTATTGGATCATTTAATCCTATGGTTGAGATTTATTCTCATTTCTCGCATGAAGCATCATTCTCACTGGAGCGCGACCCTACATATATATATATATAGTAGGGTCAATTTAATCCAAGAGTAATTCATGCACTTGTGTAGAAAAGGCCAAGCCCAATAAAAATCCTAGGGAAATTTTGGTCCTCAGTACAAAAATTTTTGATTTGCACGAGGACCAAACAAAAATCCTTGATTTTGGTCCTCGTCAATTTGAGTCGGGTAGTGGTGAAGATAAATGTCCTAATGTTCTTGAAATTTCTTTTCACTCCTTCCCATTGTTCAATTAATTTTCCTCATTTTTATCTTCACCACTACCGACTCAAAGGCAAATCAAGGATTTTTGTACGAGGACCAAACACAATCCATGATTATTTTTCAAAATACCTAAAAATAAAAATAAAAAAAAACTGCATAGGGCAAATAATTATTGGTTTTACTGTATGCTTTTAAATAGATATTTTGATTATAATTTCTTGAGTTTCTAATTGTTTTATTCACTTTTTGTTTTTTAATTTTTCTTAGTTTTTTAATAATGTATGAGATGCATGAATTTATTGGTATTCTTGGTTTTTGAATAATGTATGAGATATGAATTTATTGGTATTCTTTATTTTTTTCCTCTGCTCAACAAATCTATTGTTTATTTATGAAAGATTGAATTTTCTTCCGAGTTATTATCTTCATGTTTAGAATTTTATGATTTTTAACAATAATGGGTTTTCTTTGAGTTGTTATTACCTTAATCTTGGCGAGATCTTTAATTTATCCCAATTATTTTAATATATGAAAATATTTATATCATTTCTCATTTGTTTCGACGATTAGTAGAGACTGACAAAGCACAGACATTGTCACTAAAGTAACAGAGTGATTCATCTTTTTAATATTTATAGTTAGCATGAAATATTGCATGTCATTCTTAATTAAACTAGAGCTTCTAATTTTTTTATTTTTTTTTCGCTTTTAGAGATATTAAACTAGTTAACATGAAATATTGCATGTCATTCTTAATTAATCTAGAGCTTGACTCATTAAGGCTCGAGTTTAAGTCGTTAGTATTGATAATCAAGCCGTGCTCGAACTTCATGGCTTATTTTCTCGACTTGATAAGGCTCGATAATTTTGATGTTTTACGTAATTTCATGAACTCTCAAATTAGCTCAGCTCGTTAAAATTCGA